GTCCCAAGAATCGAGTCTTAAGATAAAATAAAGAGAAATCTTTCAGAAACAGTGCTAATGGTGTGTTAAATATAGTGTTTTCTAGTGGAATGGGAGCCAAAATCCAAAATTAAAAAAAGCGATATTTTGAACGGTGTTTTGAGGGTTAAGTTATTGGTGTTGTAACTTCTCTATAGTTTTCCTATATTATATGATCATTTATCTTCACGATAAAAAAATTTTCATTCCACTATTTCTTTTCTAAGCGAAGATCTACGATTTTGAAAAAAAAACTCGTGTTTTGCCTATAGTGCGACGCCTCTAGCCATTGTGTATCACAACTTTAAGTTTTTCGCCAAATCCTTGCTAGGCCACTGATGATGAATAAAAGCAGTGAATTTAAAAGATCCCAGTTAAGTAAGATCAGTTATCAAAACCTTTGTCCAGAAAAAAATTCAAAACCTGAGCACAGTGTTTCAAACGACGAAAAATTCACTTTCAGAACTCTAAAACTTCCCCCCCTAAATATCTCAAAATTTTTACATGATACGGATTTTCTGTTTTTTAGTTTTCAGGCGATAACGTTGTGACATATTTATATTTCATAAACGCAAAAGACAGCGTTAGATAGCTTGTTTTAAGGCCCTTCTACTGATATCCACATCAATAGTATGGAATGAGTAGTGCGGCCTCAGCGATAGTTTAAAGAATTGCCTTTTTTCGAATTTCAGGCACCAGACATGCCCACAAAGGCATACGAATCGAAATATCCTGGAACGAAACCTTCCTATTTTTTTTTGTACTGTAATTCCTGAAAGTTTGAAAAAGTGAAATGAAGGTACGTACAGACGCTACACACATCGCAAAGATTCTTCTAGTGGAGACACGAACCAAAACCAATTTTGCTCTATATTCTTCTATATTCTACTAGAAGCCGGAACTCAATATATAAGGTATCGTTGGAAAGGTACCGACCTATAGAATAACACTATTCTTCGTTGATGAAGCTGTAATATATTTTCTGGACACACGCTGCAAGACCTTTCCAACGTTACCTCAAACATGTCGATTGGACGTCTGGATAAAAACTTCAAAATCTCGTATATACAGGGTGTCCCAGAAGTAACGTGCCAAACTTTAGGGGAAGGTAGGTGGGGGGGTGAGCTCCTTGATAAACAAAAAATTTTCAGGTAAAAGTGTCACTGTTTTTGAAATATCTACATTTTTTCGAATTAAAAAAAAATCGTGCCTTTTCATGTGTTTTCTTTAACTGCAACTACAAACCGGGCAATACTTAGTAAATTTTTTATGTAAAATACTTCCAGATAGTTGCCTCTCCATACTCAAATGCAATGTAGTTAAAATAAATTAAGGAACCATCATAAAATTAGGACTATTTCTGGATTTTTAACTTTTTGATATTTTCTTCCCCAACTTTGACTATCTCGGGTGAAAAAAAAATGTACTGAGCTATAACTTTACATTACATAAAAAAATTGCTCATTTAATAAAGATTTCAGAAAGGTGCCACACTTACTGTTTTGAAAAAAAAAAAAAAAGTTATAGCCGCTTTTGTGGGTAAAGGACTGAGACACGCTAGAATGTATTTAATAGATTTAAATTGAATTTGCTCTTGTTACCGTCAAATGACATGCTAAATAGTACAAAGGTACATTATTACCTGCTCCTGACATTATTTTGTGTTACTTACCGGAATTCGGACTAGAGTCTATAACAAGGGCTATATCTATCAATATTTTTTGTGAAGCATGGATTCACGTGAAATAAAATATACATGAGTCGTTTGAAGAGAAATTTATTCATTTATTGATAAAATATGCTCAAATTGGCGACCTTCTACTCTAATACAAGCTCGGCACCTTTTAAGAAAAGACGCTTTTAGAGATCTTAAACTCAATTGGGCTATCTCAGCAGCAGCTCCATTTATTTGTTCCCGCAAATGCTCTTCGTTTTGAATTGTTTTTGAATAAATTTTGTCCTTAAGACAGCCCCAGTAGAAAAAATCTAATGGATTCAGGTCTGGCGATCGAGCGGGCCACGTGATTGGCCCGTATCGTCCAATCCATCGGCGAGGATAAGTTTCGTCTAAATGAGCTCTTACTTCACGCCCGTAGTGAGCAGGGCACCCGTCATTTTGCAGCCATAGTCTTCGCCGCAGGTTTAAGGGTACATCTTCCAAAAGAGTTGGAAGCCGTTCCTGAAGGAACTCTAAATAACTGTGAGAGTTGAGCGTTGGCGGCAGTTCCACAGGTCCCAATATCTGACAATTAAAAATACCGCACCATAAATTTATTTTGTACCGGTACTGCGAACGATCTTCTCTCATTTCGTGAGGATTGTCTATCTGCCAACTGTGAAGGTTATGTAAATTAAAATAACCATCACGTTTGCATGATGATTCATCGCTCCAAATTATTTTATTAAAAAAGTTGGGGTCTGATTCATGCATTCGCAACATTTCACGGCAAAATCTAACCCTCGACAGGTAATCTCTTTCTTGTAGAGCCTGAACACGTTGAATGTGGTAGGGATGAAATCGATGGTCTTTTAAAGCTTTGTGAACTGTAGTTTTTGGTATTCCCGTCCGTCTTTCCATCATTCTCACTGAAGTCGATGGAGCTAGTTCCACTTCCTCTAACACAGCTTCAACATCTACCGTTGCAGGACGTCCTGTTTCGCCGCCACGCCTTCCAGGTATGCGACCTTAAAAAAGTGAAAAATTATAGTTAACAAGCAAGCAAACAAGAAAGGTGTAAAAATCACTTACCTTCATATATTTCTCTATGGGTCCGGGCGAATACTTCACGACCCGGATGTCGACGATTGGGGTATCGCTCTGCATAGAGTCTTTGAGCAGCTCTGGCATTACAGCAAGCTTCACCGTAAATTAGGTGAATATCCGCATATTCATGCGACGTATACTGCGTGTTCTCTGTCATAGTATTAATAACACAATGTTCGAAGGGTCCAATTTCACAAAATCCACTTTCACTAATTCCGGTAAGTAACATAAAATAATGTCAAGAGCAAGTAATTATGTACCTTTGTACTATTTAGCATGTCATTTGACGGTAACAAGAGCAAATTCAATTTAAATCTATTAAATACATTCTAGCGTGTCTCAGTCCTTTACCCACAAAAGCGGCTATAACTTTTTTTTTCTATTCAAAACAGTAAGTGTGGCACCTTTCTGAAATCTTTATTAAATGAGCAATTTTTTTATGTAATGTAAAGTTATAGCTCAGTACTTTTTTTTTCACCCGAGATAGTCAAAGTTGGGGAAGAAAATATCAAAAAGTTAAAAATCCAGAAATAGTCCTAATTTTATGATGGTTCCTTAAAGAAGAGCCTAACGCTTTGCTTCAACTTATATTACTACGTTTATACGCATGCATAAGTCGCTTTAATGCATTTCGCCGCGATTCAAAACATATGTATAAACTGAATTTCAATTCGCTTTGAAAGAGCGAAGTGTTTTGGCTCACACTCCATTTCAAATCGGTAGTTTATTTCTCCAGACAGTTAGAAAGAGTGTATAAACACCGCTCTCACTCAAAGCGAATTGGAGATCAGCTTTTCCGCTCAAATTCCAAATAATCGCATCAGTATTTAAAAGCTGATTAATAATAATCGTTCTTTTTCTTTGCCACGATTTTATAATGCCGAATAAAACTAGATTTGGATCACTTTCCATTATGTTAACTTATAAAATGTCAAATGAAAACAGCTTATTTTGTTTGCTTTTGAAGACGGTTACTTTGATGCCGATATAAAGCCGTAAGTATAAACACTAGAGCGAAATGTGTACGGTGTCAATGCGCTTTCAATTAAGTCGATTATTCTGTGCGTATAAACGTAGTATATATGTACGTCCACTTATATTTTTCAGTCTTCATACATTGAGTCATTCATACAGTTCGTCGTTCCATCGTCTGCGGTACTCGCCGTCGCCAACGCGTAAAGGCCCGTAAATCTTTCGCAAAATCTTTCTCTCGAATACTTCAAGAGCCGCCTCAGCGGATGTTGTCATTGTTCATGCTTCTGCGCCATATACCAGCACGGGCATGATGAGTGACTTATAGAGTGTGGTTTTCATGCGTCGAGGGAGGACTTTACTCCTGAATTGCCTACTTAGTCCAAAGTAGCACTTGTTAGCAAAGGGTCTTTGCCCAAGGGAAATTTAAGCACTTGATAAATAATCTACAACAGAAAACACAAAAAGATCGCACAGATGTGTGTTTGCGTCAGTGATAAATCCCATACAAAGTAAGTGGAGAGAGTTATTTTCGATCTCTGCCAGCAGCTGGTGGAAAGTATACTAAACATTTCAGACACGTGCGCACGATTTCAGAAAAAAATCACAAAAAAATTCGAAGTTTGTGAGAATTGCCCACATACCATGGCTCTTTATTGGCAATAAATTGATTTTCGATATAATTTTTGGAAAATGGGCGTGACACCGCCCCAGTCATAAACTACTTCACCGATCTCGACCAGATTTGGTATACATATGTCGCTTAGCCCCCTTAAGCACCGTCGTGAACAATTTTCAAATCGGACCAAAGGGTAATTTCAAAAAACTCAAAGCTAGCTTATTTTAAGGGGAGGAGTAACAGTACCAACTGTGCTTTAATCCCCCATAACTGTTTTGGTGAAAATGGTAACAACTTAGCCCAGGCAAGGCAAAAAGATGGGTTGCGTATTAGAATGATACGTATTATATATGTACGTGACTGCGCGGTACAACCTTTTTTGCTTATGCTAAAATATTGAATTATTATTTTAATTGTATTTAGTCAAATTTAATAAATAATGTTACATAAACCGTTTAGAAGTAATATAAAAGCAGTGCCGGAGTGGTAAGTAGTCAGTGTACTGTTCACTGAACGATACGTGTAATTCTAAAAAATTTATGTAATCGTATCTTTATTTTAATTTAAATGCATATGTGAATCAATTAAAACAAAGCTAATCATACATGTATTTTCCAATCCCTACAGATAAATTTTAACGGCACATGGTTTACTGAACAATATATTGTCATCAAATCGAAATATAAGGATTATAGCACACGACTTCAAATGCTAAAAATGATTGTAGAAAGTGGTTCATTTGAAACTATAACTCTTAATGCCTCATATCGACGTGTTCAAGCATTTACATATAGCAACTTCTTGGTTAAATATGGCGAAGACCCCTATAGTTTGATTATGCAACTAAATTTCAAGCCGGACAATATCAAAAGCTCTATTTGCGAAATGCGCTTACAATTGAAAGAAAAAGTGTACTGGCTTAATACTATCCTACTCGTAAAACAACCACTAATGGTGCAAGTGGAAATACACTTAGATAAGTAAGTACTCAAACCATTTTTACAAAACTACCCAGTAGAAATTTTATGCATACGACCGCTGTTGGTGGCATGAGCTTGCTGCTGTGTATACATGCCAGTATAAATGAACCTTCATTTCCATTTAACACGTGTGGTTTCTCAGAGCGTATGCATACTCTAACCATACACTTGTACTACTGCTGTATGCATATGGCTGTATTAGTGTTTCGAACATACAAAAATGCATTAATGGAACAGTATTAAATCATTCTTACAAGATACATATGTATCGCCATATGTAAATGTTACTTTTATGATAAATTTTAATATACGGAGACATACAAAAAAGTAGCATTTACTTATGCAAATGCATATCTTGTAAAAGCCTGCTGGTGCTGAAAATATTATCGCACAACACGCTAAAATTTTTGTACAAGACTGAAAATATTACAAAAATTCCACTTCAAATTTATCAAGAAGTGTACTTAAAACAACAACAACGTGCGTTCGCTTGCAATTCGCTAGAATTTGAATTTATTTGTGGAAATTCATGACTACGTATGAATTGTTCACAATAATTTGCTCATACAGCATGCATACTTCATGAATACATACAACCGATTTCTACTGGGTACTTATGTATGTATGTACATCACTTTTTTAAATATCGTACTAGATTAACATCGGTTTATAATATCTGTACCATGAGTATCTTAATTGAAAGTGTGAATTATTATGCAAAACGCAAGGATATTTCGCATTGACTGACCGTCTGCCTATCACGCTTTAGTGTTAGAGGAGTTTGTCGAGAAACTTATTTACTCTCTTGCTCCTGCTTAAAAAGTACATGTAATCTCAATCAAAGCTCGATGGTTAGTTACTCCGATTAAACTGGCAAATCTCAGATTATTAGCCTTTAAATTTGTTTACTTGTTTTTCTCACAACTCAAGGAAAAGTTGGTTTCTTCTCCGTGCTGCGGTTGCCAGACGTACTGATTTGGGAAGGACAGTACTGAATTTTCGGTGACGAGCAATAATGTCAATGGAATTTATGTCGCTGACATTAATACACAATTGAAAAGTGAATTAATGTCAATGATACATTAAGTCTCTTTGAAACTGATTTAATCCCTATAAGTTATGACTGTATTTTTATAAAAATAAATTTTGTTATTTAGACTTAAATTCATAAAATGGAAGTGTTTTTATTTCATCGAAAATATTACTAACCATCCAAACCTACATATGGAATTTCGTTGCGTGTGGACGTGTTTTCCTGTCTGGGAAGTTGGCATACGGTATGGCGCAGAGCGACAAAAAAAAGATGTTCTGGGCAACGTTCCAATAGTTCTAGAATTCTTGAGAAGGAAAAAAAAAGCTCTGGATATTTTGACAAAAAAAATTTGTTACCAAAATTGTGTATGCCAGATTCACGCAGCATACGACATGTGACAAAAAGGCAAACAAAAAATTGTTCTGACCATGGTAGAAATAAAAATTATAGTTTAAAATCTAAAACCTCCCTATTATAATTGCCATTCGTTCTGTCATCAGGTATGTAACTTGAAAATAAAAATCGCTGCATTTTTAGGCGCATCAATATTACATAGTTACTTCCCGAGCTAATAGAAGGAAGGTAAAAAGAAGGTAGTTTCATTTAACAGAGGGTCCAGATTTGGCGATTTCGCGCCAATTTGGCGATTTTTTTTTAGATATTTGCGCGTAAAAATTTAGGAAATCGCCTTTGGCGATTTTTGGCGAATTTTTTCCTTTCAAATAAATTTTTTCCAATTATACAAATATACAAAACTTAGTTTTCCACAATAATTCTACAGAAGAGGCTAATGAACTGCGTGATAAACTTGACTTAAGAAGCATATTAAAAGACCGTCAAAAATGTTTAATCACTTTAATCGAAGAACTTTTGAAACGAGTACCTTGCCAATTAAATGCTTTTAAAAAAGCTTTGATTTTGTCACCAGAAAAGTGGCAGGGGCCTGCCAATTCATTATTTGACTTTGAAGGAAAGAAAAGCAGCGGAAACTGATTATTTAAATCTTTTAACTTTCCCATGGAATAACTTTTCTCAGAACCATTCCATCTGACTCTGAAGAATTTTGGATAATTACGGAGTGAAAACCGCAATAGGCAATAAAATGTTTGGAAATATAAGTAAATTCATATTATTATCCTTGTCGCACTCACATGCTTTGTTGAGCGCGTTTTTTCCGTAATGGATTCAACAAAAACTAAGATTCGAAATAGGATGAGGTTGGAAAGCCTTACTTCAGTAGTTCGAATAAAGTGTTATATTTATGAAGGCTAATAGTTTCTGCTGCAAAACGTTTCCAATATCAAACAGTATGTTATCAAGGTTGAATACCTCAATGTATGACAACAACAGAAATGTAATGCATTCAGATTGAGGAAATAGCTAATCTCGCCTTATTATAGGTTTTTATTTAATTTTTAGCGCCGAGCTCTTAAAAGCGGATTGTGCGATTAATCAATTATTTTAAATTTAAATTTTAATTTAATAATTTCGCAGTCCAATTGCAAAATGTGTTGAAACAAATACTTTTTAAAAAGTATGAGTATTTTTAAAGACAATTGTTTGTACATCACTATTATATAAGTGATTTGTGTTATATATTATTACACTCTGAAGGTATTATATTCGTTTTTGGTTTTAAAAACTATATTATAACAATATGTCATTTTTAAAATAAAAGATTTGTTATATCGATTTCATGAATTTTGTTTAAAAAATAATAATTGGCAATTTTTGGCGACTTTTTTTCAGAAACTGCGCTTTTTTTAACAATCTGGACACCCTGCCAATTAATGACATTAGCAGCCATGTTAGCCATTTGACTTTTGCTGAGATTATGACATTTTCATCAAAATCAAGCTACCAGATTGAAAATTATAATAACATTTTTTCTGAAAAGAATTTGGTCAACAAAGCAAAAAATAAAATTATTTTTTAAAATACTGAAAACAAAAATGAGTTGCGCATTTGGAAGTTGCAAAAATACAAAATACCGCTGCAAGGAAGACGGTACAGGGCTTGAGGCCCCTGCGGCTTAAGCAAGGAAAGCCTTCTAAAATATCTGTATATTTGTTCTCAACATTGATTAGTTAATAAGAAGTTAACAAGTCCGATTTTTTTTAATCTATTGTACAATTAAAATGTAACTCTCGAGGAAAGGACTGTAAAATGTTTTATTCAAATTCGATATTTAAATCTTAAGTTAAAAGAGAACAAAATTAAATAAAAAAATAAAAAGATGAGAAAAATAATGTCTTCATAGTTTGTTGAATTTATTAAATAAAAATATTTAGTAATGTTAACGCAACATACATACAAGAAATTATTTTTAGTTTTGGGGTATGCTATTATCCGTTGCATTTTGAAGTAAAATTGCATTCTTTGTATGTACATATTGTCAATACATATGTACTGTTTGGTTTCATCTAAGAAGACTAAAATATTCACACCTATTTACTGTGAAAGAAATCCGCATCTCGAAGTTCCTTAATTTATTTTTGAATATTAACAATATGGTAACACTGCTAGCAACATGAACAAATTATGAAGCTTCAAAAATCTCAGTATCCGCCAAAAAGTTGTTTATTGAAACATTCTTTTTTATCATGGTTCTGAGCATTTAATAATTAAAGGTTCGCTCACTAGTGACTAGGAATGTTAATCCCGGGATCCCGGGAAATTTTATCCTTGAAATTTCGCAATATTTGTTCGAATTTCGTTCTTCTAACTTTGTCAGCTTAAAAATTACCTATTCGTCCTGGTGAATACAACAATTTTTTTAAATTCTAAAAAAATTCCTATTGCTTTTGTTACCCATATTTTTATTCTACATTGCATTGAATTTTTTCATAATTTCTGGAATTATTAATATCTTTGAAATTACAAAGTCCTTCAAAATAAATCCTGCGGTCAGGGTTTTTCAAACCATGGTACAATAATTACAGGTATTGTCTTCCTAGAGAGTTTTACTTCACATCGAAATTCGTGCTTTTACTTTTATTTGGCTTTGCTTTTTGTTTTCGCTCAATAAATTTTTATAACTTTTCAAAACAAAAGAAAAAGCGTTTGAAATTAAGTGAGCCATACAAATTTTGAATTTATTTACAAGCAAATGGTTTTTTTCCAGCTTTTGCAAATTGAATAAGTTCTCTGTAAGATGGTTTGTTAAAAAAAATACGTGAACATGTATGAATGCTTTCCATTTCCAGACAACCGGTCAGGTACGAGCATGATTTTTAATTTCGACCAAACTCAAATACATTGTTTGTTGGTCCAAATAATGCACTTATTTTTTCTTTTGGCTCGGAAAAATTTTTCGGCCGAATTAAACGCGATTTTGTTTTTCAGGCAAAAAACGATTTTTCGAATTGACAGTGAGAATGTTTTTTTAAAATGCCCATAACTTTGTCAAAATTTAATAGATTCCAACAATGTTTTTACTCAAATGTCAGTAATTCTTGTCACTTCAAGATAGAATGATATAATTATTGATTTTCATTATTTAAAATTTTTTATTTAACAATAAACAAAAAGTGCATATTTTGTTTTAAGTTTAATTTCTCAAAAAGTGTATTTTTTTCCCCTCAACCGGGAAAGAGACACTTTGAACTACAATCAACCCAAATCTCTAATAGCGAAGATTTTTTTTTCTGAGTTATGATATTTTATAGAAAATATACGTTTTCGTGGTACATACTACAATATTCTTATATTGTTTAACTAAATGGAACATATGTATGTAATATGTGAGCAAAAACTAAAGCTGTGATCATTTTTTGTGTATCAAATGGATATTAGAACACACTTTCCACCATACAGTTTCGAAATACAAAATCACATTTTCCCGCTTTTTATAATCGAAACTGTATGGTGGAAAGTGTGTTCTAATATCATTTGATACACAAAAAATATCACAGCTTTAGTTTTTGCTGCACATATTACATACATATGTTCCACTTAGTTAAAAATA